CAGTCAGTCTATAAACATTTATTAAGTGCCTACAGGGTGCCAAGCACTGGACATAACAAAAAAATGCAAAAGATAAATCTTTGCCCCCAAGGAGCTTGCTATCAAGATAATATTTGTAAGAGCAGGACCTGAGTTCAAATTGGGTCTCAGACATATAACACTTACTAGCTGTGTGACCCTGGACAAGTCCCTTAACCCCAATTGCCTAAAAATAAATAGATAATACTTGTAAAAAGTGCTTAGCTTAGCCTGGTGCATAATAGGTACTCCGTAAATGCTCCCTGCCTTCCCCTACTTAAGTGTCTGATGCAGGATTCAAACTTGGGTCTTCCTGATTTCTAGTCCTAACAACGTGTGCACAGAAAATTAAATACAAAATGTATGTAGTATAACTGCAAAGTAGTTTCTGGTGGGAGGGTATCATATAAATTATGATTTGTTACCATTATTGTCGGGGTGCCCTGTATAGAACTGGGAGCCATTTGCATAGTAATGATAGTAATGGGAGCTAAAGAGATTAGAATAAAGAAAGAAAAGAGAAGGGGGCCCAAGATAGAGACCTAGGTGAGGATTTCTTCTCCCCACAGAGCAGGGAGGGCCTGGGTGAGGATTCAGCCCAGGAGCCGGAGAGGGTGTGGTCATGCAGGTAGCTGGAGCACCAGAGAAAGCAGGGCTAGGAAAACTCCGAGGGGAGAGTGTCCAGGAGTTCGAGGTGGTCCGCAGGGTCAGAGAAGTGACGTGGCCTGCAAAAGACCGTCCGATTTGACAATTAAGAAATCACTGCCAGACTTGGAGAGAGCTGTGACGGTTGGGTGATGATGTGAGAAGCCAGATTGCAAGGGACTGAGAAGTGTTAGGAATGAGCACAGATACAACCTGATTATTTCCCGAGAACGTTTTAGGAATAATTTTAGGAGCTACAACCAGCCGCTTATTTATCCATGGGTACAGTAGAAATCCTCGGCCTTGGTATAAATGAACCCCAAAAAAGACATGTTTGGTTTTTTATTAAACACATACCCTTTTAATTAAAATAACAGTATAAACCTGGAATGGGTAGCCCATTCCCTTTTGGAATCCCGCCATTACTTGGGTTCAGTGTGGGGGCTAATATTCATTTTGTGTCCCATCTGGGACGTGCTTCACCAGCAAGCCGGGCAGAAACCGTAGATCCAGTAGCAAAGTGTTTAATTGGGGCGGTATAGCAAAGTAAAGCTATAGTAGCTGCCTACGGTCTTTGGCCAGAATAAACGTGCATGATGCTTGCTTGGTGTTGAAAGCCCTTTACCATCTGGCTTTTGCCTCCCTCCCCCTCAGGCACTCTCCATTCTGCCCAGACTGGCTGTTCCCTGTACCTGCCTCCAGGCCTTTTCCCTGCAGAGGAGCTTACCTACCTACCTACCTCCCTCTTCACCTTCAGACTCTCTAGTTTCTGTTTCCAGCCCCTGGGGTCAGGGTCAGTTTTGCCTTTGTGCCTTATGTCTGGCACACAGCAGGCACTTAATAAATACTTGTCCAACGAATGAAGTAATTCATCCCTAGTAAATCATGGATATTCAAGAGATGAAATCATGCTCATTTCTTCCTCACCCAAGCACTAATGTGGCAATCTCCTACTGACTCACCCATTGGTGGAGAAAGCAAACACATCCTTGGAAGATTCAGACTCCAAGAGGAGGACGCCATCTGCTTTGTGGTTGGAGGGAGGCTCTGCCTTTCCTAGCTCTTGGGCAAGGCCCCGGGGGCCCTGTTGCTCTTCAGTCCCCTTCTCATCCAGGGGAGGCTGGGAGGCTCACTGCTCTGCTGTCATCTGCTGAAGGTCCACCTTCTGCTGCTGCCCTGTCCCTTGGTGGCCTCCTGACTCAGACTAGCCTGCACATCTTCAGCTGTTTTGTTAGTCAGGTCTTTAGCCGTCTCCGAGACATAGAACCGGGGAGCTCCAGCAGCTGTCAAGACCTGACTGACTCACCCTTCTATCCCTTCCAAAGGAAAGTCCCCAGGCTCACTCTTAGCAAAGTCAGAGGAAGTGAATTTCTATCCCCCAACCCTCCCCTCTGAGTCTTTTGGATGGAGGAGGTGAACACACACACACTCACATTTGCCCTTTTAATTCCCAGTATCTCCCCAGCAGCTGGCACCCAAGCCATGCCAATCGCCACGAGCTTTGATAAATCTTAAGAAGTCATTAGAAACGCTGGAGGAATTGGGAAAAAACTGATGTGCTCTGCTGCCAGCAGCATGGCAGCAAAGCTCCTTGTTTCCCTTACCGATCCTTAACCAATCTCTTAATTTCACTACTTGGCTTCATGTTGTGGAAACATGATTGTGGAAGCATAACAGTATGGAAAATATAAACGCCTAAGTACAAGTTAAGCACCCTTCTTACTATGGCTAAACAGTCAGCAGTTGCTGCTTAGCTCTGATTGCCCTTTTTGCTCTGTTTGGCTGACTCCCTGGGTTTTGCTTGTCCACAACTTCTGGGTGTTCTATCTAAGGAGGGAGAGTTCTTAACTCTCTGTCTATGTTTTCGGAGAGAAAAGTATTCATCTTAATCTTCCATTTCTCTTCCATCTCCTTGCCTCTCTTTCCAGCAAAGTAAATTTCTTAATTTCTTCCACATGACTAGATGACATCAAAATTGACCTTGTGTTCTCTCTCACAGCTGAACAGAAGACACACACTGCAGGATTTTCCATCTTCTACCACTTGTTTGTCAATAATGACTTGACCAACTCCGATCCCAACAGCAAAAGCCCTCTCTCTGTACAGTCAGACTTTTGGCCACTTACCCTTAGCTTTCCTTTTCTTCCTTATCAGTGTTCACTTAACGTTAAGTGTTTCTTGGCTAAGGCTCTTCCCTTCTGGGATTTCTTTTACCTGGCTTTTCACAGACACAACCGGTTTCTTATCTTACGCTTAAGTAGTGAGGGCCTATGGGGTTGTAAAAATGCCATGTGATCCTAACAGGAAAATTTAAAAATACATTTACACAGTGTTTTCCTCCATGATTTCCACTGACACTGAAAAGTTCCCAACAGACAAGTTGAGCCAGGTGGTGCAGCGAATAGAGCCCTAGGCTTGGATCAGGAGGACTTGAGTTCAAATTCAGCCTCAGATTGGCTCTGTGCTAATAGTCAAGTTATCTGACCTTTCTCAGTCTTGGTTTTCTCAGCTGTAAAATGGGCTACTGATAGCACCTCCCAGGCTTATTGGTTGTTATTATTATTAAGCTAGTAATCTTTACACTCTGATAGTTATATGAGTTTTCTTCTTTTGACAGTTTTTTTTAATGTGTCCTATAATTGCCAAGTAAAGACCCTTTTAGAGGATATGAGAGGGCCCGCTGCTACATCTTCAAAATGTAAAAGGTCTGCGATTTTTCTTGGTGTGGGTAACCCCTCCGCTTACCTCTCCGGGACTTGGGGAAGCAGTGTTTGAAAATTGCTGTGGCCAAAAATGTATCACCCTTTGGCCAAGCTGATGGTGAGATTCTCTGAACTTAACATGGCAGGTCCTTAAGTGACAGAGACGTGGGTCAGCCCTTCTGCAAACCCGATGCCTTTTGGCTTGGTAGCACCTGTCAGAATTCACATCCACTGGCAGAGCCTTTGATAGCCAAGGTCATCTGTTACAACATTGAGTCATTTAATTGAACAGTATGATGGAAAGAGCCGTGGGTTTGTAGTTAATTAGTCAGCAGACATGTATTAAGCACCTACTGTATGCCAGGCATTGGGGATTTCATTCTCTTTCTCCTCTGACTAGTTTTTGCAGCTTCGGCTCCTCCGAAACTCAGGACCCCGGAGGGGAGGCATGGACAAAGGCTTGGCAGCCTGAGTGTGTGTGCCTGGCTTGCCTTGACCTCAGGGAGGAGTAGCTGATTGCCTGGTTTTCGGGCCCTACTGTCCTTGTCCACCAACCACCAGTATGGCTTGTCTTGGGCACTCCTCATCACTCATTCTTCACCAGATTTCCCGTGCCATGATGCCTCATCTCCTGGAGCTGCTCCACCCAGAACAGCCCGGCAGCAAGCCCTGTCTGTCCTCTGTCTTTCATCCATCTCTAGCTGTATCCTGGGTATGTAGGCTGATGGGAAATGGAGGCTTTGTTTCCCGGTGAACATTTGCCCTCTGGGTCCAAGCATCCTTAGAAATGTAGCCCTTTCCCACCTCTTCCATTCCATACAAAAGAATTGGGTTTTGGGTTTGGGTTTTTTGGGGGTTTTTTTGGCTTTTTGGTGAGGCAGTTGGGGTTAAGTGACTTGCCCAGGGTCACACAGCTCCTAAATGTCAAGTGTCTGAGGCCAGAAGGAATTGCTTTTTAGAAGGTAGACCATTGTCCTTGAATATCCTGAAGCTGATAAACCGGGACCAGTGGAAGGGACACTGACTCTAGAACTCAGGGTCTTAACCATTTTCACACCGTGGACCCCATCAGTGGTCCAGCAAAGCTAAGGAAACCCTTCTGAGAATAAAATTTTTAAATGTATAAATAACGTACATGGTAACACAAAGGAAACAGATTATATTGGAACGGAGTAATCAAAATATTTTTCAGATAGGTTCAGAGCCCCCAGGTTAAGAACCAAGCCATCTCTGCAGTCAGAAGACCAGAGTCCAAATTCTGCCTTTGAGACTTAGCACCCATGTGACTTTGGGCACATCCCTGACTCTCCCTTGACGTCAGCTTCCTTCTCTGGTGAATAAGAGGTTACACCAGGCTGTTCCAGATTTATGACCATAGGTGCATATGGAAATGGAGTTACTCAACAGTTTGTAGTGTTCACCTCTTTTAACAACAAACGTATAAACCAATGATCATGTTTCTATTACTGCCACAGTCTGCAGAGAAATGCACCACCTGAAGTTTCATGGATTTGTTAAATAGCTATATCTTGAGTTAGAATATGAGTATTATTAATTATAACATTGTGATTAGTATTCGTTGTAATATAACATAATTAATAACAGTACTAATAATATGACCTCACATTTACGTAATGCTTTAAGGTTGACAAGGTACTTTCCTCAAAACAGCCCAACAGTGGAGTATGTGGTCCCCATGTTTTGATTTTGGCCAGTTCAGTTTTCACTTCCCGCCAAGATGGCGTGCTAGATGATGATCCTTGTCAGCCCTACAAAGTCCTTAGCCCCTGTCTCTGGGGGCTGCTCAGATTCCCACTCAGCGGTGGAGAGCGTGGGGCCTTTTGTCCCACCTCCTAGCCCCTGGATCTAGAAGAGGAAAATAGACCTGTGGAGCCCACGGTTGCCTCAAGCGTGAGGCTGTGGACAAGCCTCACTTCTCCCTAGTTTTCTCACCTGTATGGTGGGGATGACTTAGGTCTCAGGGAGGTTGTGAAGTGTCGCCATCCCTCAAGAGTTTCCCCAAGTATCCAGCACCGTGTAAATTATCAGCTTGAAGAAGAGAGCATATAAATGAGTGGGTCCATTTTTACAAAAGTCAGAGTAACGTTTAGGAAACCAGTCTGAAGGCACTCGCTGAAGTTCAGGCAGGTGGTGGGGTGGAGCGAAGATTTGAACCCAGGTCACAGGGTCAGAGCATCATAGAGTGAGTACTGGGAAAGGCCAGAAACTGAGGCCCAGGGAGGTCCCAGGGTCATAGCTCAAGAGCTGACCTTCTCTCTGCAGAGCCAGTGCTTTGCCCATCATACCAAGAAGAAACCACACATGGTTAGGCTCATGGGGTTTAGAGTTGGAAGAGGCTTAAGAGGCCCCTGGGTCCAGCCCCCTCATTTGACAAGTAGAATACAGCCATTGAGGGTCAGAGGAGGGCTTGGATCCAGATGCCCGATGGGAAACCCGGATTCCCCTGCACCAAAACAAGCCAGTCTGGGACAATAATTCCTCCCTTTACAGGTGGGAGTTAAACCAGGTTGTCTTGTTTCTCCCCATCCCCCCCATCCCGAGGGTGCAGAGACCCAGACAGAGGTGGATACCGTTAACCTTCCTTCTGGCGTGCCTCCCCCACCTCCCTGACAGGCTCAGTCTTTCCAAGCCCGTCGGAATAAATGATACATTTCCACATTCCACTGGCTGGGTGTTAGAGACCTTTGTCCCATGGCCTGGCATCAGGTGGTTTGGTCTCTTGTTACATTTTGTTTTCATGGTCTCTCTGCCCGGCTCTGCTTACCCTGGCAGTGAACCCGGCTCTGGCGATCAGGTGCCAACTGCATGCCCTGTGTACGGACTGAGCCACGTTCCTGTACCAGGCCCCACCCTCCAAATCCAGTGAGGCCCTAGCCCTGGGACAGGGGCCTGAATGGAGAGGGGCTTCCCAGAGATGATCCACATTGGGGGGGGGGGCATGGAAGAGTTCTGGGTTCAACCATCTCCCTCTGGGCCTCAGTTTCCTCACCTGTAAAATAATCATTTGAACTATGCCACCACAGCAGGCCTGCCTCTGGTGTTGGATAGATCTGTGACCAAGTCAAGTCATGAAGCATTTATTAAATGCCTACTATATACCAGGCACTAGTCTGAGAGCTGGGGAGACAAAGAAAGAAAAGAAAAAAAAAAGTAGTTCCTTCCCTCGAGAAGTGCATGAAATCTACACCTCCATGGAGCTGGATATTAGATATTATCTAATCTAGCCCCTTGTCTTCTATACAGATGAGGAAATTGAGGCACAGAGCAGTTAAACAGATGACTTTCCCAAGGTCTCGCAGATAGTAAGTAGCCAAGCCTAGATGTGAACCCAGCTCCCCTGATTCCTTATCAGCGACATGGCAGATGCCTCTCTTCATTGATGCAAGAGGCCATTTGTAGTGGGCTCACATCATTCCTCTGGCATACACTGGCTAGGTTGTTTTGGGGGAGGGTTCCTTAGCCACTCAGTCCCACAGGAAACTCTCTAGAACCGAATCGCTGATGGGTCTCTGCCTGCATCAGTGGAGGGAATTTCCACATTGGAAACGTGCTTAGATGCTTAGATGCTTAGAGGTTCAGAGATTGAGAAGTGGGGACATGACAGAAATTTGGAAAGGAAGGCATGGCATCATACGCTGAACTCCAGACGTGGGATTAGGAGAGACCAGGGTTGGAATTCTGCTGTGGACATTGAAGGGAGTCAGTGGAGGAACTGAGGGATTGGAATGTTTGAGGAAAAGTCCACATGCAACATTGAAGTCCCTTAGTATGAGGTCAGGACTGGGAGGCGGGGGGATGAGCCACACTCACTGAGGAAGGAAGGGGAGTGTCCTGGAGGTCTACAGACAGCGGCTACCAGGATCTCAGTTGGGTGGTAGAGGTGAACAGCGTGAACCTCAAAGGAGAAGATGTTACTGAGTGATGGAGGTAGAGGAAGGGTCAGTGGGGAGCTGAGGAGAGCAAGTGGAGGTGTGGCCAGGACTGGAGAGGGGAGCCAGGGAGGCTGTGTCCTCCGGGGGAGCCGGGTTTCTGCGATTGCTGGAAGATGGAAGGAGAGGGAAAGGAAAAGATTGAAATGAAGGCAAGTTTGTTACCTATGGAACAGGCATTTCAGAGGGCACAGTAGAGTGTGTGGGTGGTGTTCGATGGGGACTTTGGGGTGGGAGGGTTGAGAGGGATGGGAAGTACTGTAGTACTAGTACAAGTATGGTATGGTATAAGTTCTATAGTTTTGATCAGCCCCATTTTACAGATGAAGAAACTGAGGCTCAGAAAAGCCTAGGATTTTTTTTAAACTTAAAATACCATATCAATATCAGTTATTGTTACTAATTATTATTTGACCATACTGGTGATTTCAGTAGTATAAGAAGTATCCAAATCCAGACCCACACACCAATGTGTGTCAAAGGTGGGATTCAAAAATAAGTCTGCCTAAGTCTGAGGCTGTCTATCCACTATTTATCATCATCATCATCATCATCATCGTCGTTATTATTATTATTATCAGATTCAGCAAGGGCCTCAGCCTTCAGCCATCCCCTCATTGGCACCTCCCATCAATAATAGACAGACACGTGAAGGGAGTACAGCTCAGCCTCAGTTTCCACACATGGATTTCCATTTTAGACATTTTGCTTCCATCACTTCACATCCCCAGTTGCTGGGAGTTTTCAGGTGACCTGGAACATCAAAGGAGCCCATTTGCTCCTTGGGCTAATTTGGGCACATTCTGTGGGTGGTTCAGGGCTTTCTTTGACTTAGGGGCTGACGTGGAATCTTGCATTCCACAGGGAGCAGATGTTGCATCTCAGAGCCTCATTTGTACTTGTAGAGGGGCTCCTTCTGCCCCCTGCCCAAGCCAAGACCCCACCCCATAACTCTGAATTAAGCATTGCCTCAATAAAGAATTGTTGTCGGTCCCCCTCTGTTCAGAAAAAAAACTAAAAGCAGCTCAGAGGGGCTCTAAATTCACTAAGAAATGATTCCAGTCCAGAAACATTGAGCTCTTGAAAGATCATTGAACTTGGAGTCCAAAGCTCCAGGGTCTGATTTTGCCAAGATCACTTCATTGCTCAGTGGCCCTCCTTTGGGCCTTAGTTTCCAGGTCTGTAAAGGCTTGGAGTGCATGGTCCCTTCCTGCTCTAAATCTCTGAATAATCATTCACATTAGGTGGTAACTTGTCCAAGCAGAGGAAAATATTAATATTGATGCAGGGCTTTCTCCCAGGTTTCTAGGGCATTAGAAACCCACAGGTCACTGAAGCAGGTGGCCCTGGACTCCAAGGCGTGAAGGGCGAACCAGAGTACTGCCTTCTAATACAGATACATTGGAAATCCACCCCTCCAACCTTGGCCACAAGGTACCTGCCTGGAAAGTCAGATGTGTAGGGACCTAAAATACTTTGGGAAATGAATTCTGACAAAGAGAAAAGGGGGATTTTTTTATACTAAAGATTGTGAAAGATAGAAGATGCAGATGGGGTAAAAAGGCCTTGGGACTTTAAGGGAATCCAGTCATCACAAAAGTACCTGAGAGTAGCCTTCCTGTGGATGGACGGGAGCAGAAAGTAGGGTCCGGAGGGATCAGTATGCCTGCAAAGGAGAAAGAAAATCTGAAGGCACACAAATGAGGAGGAGGAAGAGAGGGAAAGGAAGAGAAAGAAGAGAAGGAGAAAGAACAGAAGAAAAGGGTGAGGAAGCCTGAAATAAACTGAGGCCAGAAGGACGACTCACCTGCTCTTGGAGATCTTCCTGCTCACCCTCCTCTCTAGACTGGAGTTTTACAAACATGACCGCCATGACACTTCCCAAATGGGGAGGACGGTGTCAGAGTCTAAACTTTGGGACTTCCTCATCTTCCTGAGCTGGGGGAGCATTTCTTTCACTCAGTCATCGCATCCCACAAAGCAAGTATTTAGGAAGCATCAGTTACCACGTGCCAGGTATTACCAATGCAAAACCAAGCGTGACCAGGGCCTGCCCTCAAGAAGCTCACATTCTCCTGAGTTTTCTCTTGCAGCCTAGTTTTCATGCAACATTGTTAAGAGCCCTGGCATCATGTATGGCTTAACTCAGGCTTATAAATGTCCTGATCTCCCTCCTAACTCCCTCTTTGTTGAAGGTGAGGAGGAATTTTATGGCTGGAAGAGAATAATCAATAACATTTACATAGTGCTTTAAGGTTTGCCAAGCTCTGTACGTATGTCGTGTCATTTGACCCCCACCACAGCCTAGGGAGGGCAGAGACTGCTCTGCCTCCACCGTTGGAGACCCAGGTGGTGCTGGCACATAGTAGGTGTTGAATAAATGATTGCTGGTTGATTGAGGTTCCACTGAATGAGCTAGAGTCTAGACCTTACCCTTTCGGGCAGGCGGTGAAGCCTGTCTCACCTTCTTCCTTGGCCGTCCCCTTGCCTGAAATGCCCTCTGTCCTCACCTCCACCTCCTGGTTTCCTTCAAGTCCCAGCTAAAACCCTCGCTCGTGTAGAAGCTTCTCCCGACCCTTCTCAGTTCCAGCCCCTTCCCTCCAGGGGTCTCCAGTTCATCCTGCATCTTGCTTGTTTGCACATGATGGCTGGCAAGTTGTCTCCCAGTAACTTTGGGAGCTTCTGGGGCAGGTGGGATGGTTTTTTTTTCCTTTTTGTATCATCAGTGATTAGCATATAGTCAGCACTTAATAAATATTTATTGATTGACTGAATTTCTCAGGATAATGTTTCTAAATGCATAAAATAAAATACTATTATAAAGAAAGTCAATTATGCTGAAATAGTTATGAGAAGATTTAATTTGATGGACACCAGGGTTGAGCCCCTGATGTAGAAGGCCCCTTCCAGCCCCAATCTGTGACTCCACGACCCTGTGGTTGAGGGCTCCCTCTTTCTCAGAACCATGGGTTACATTTGTTGGCGCCTCCAAATTACTTAGGAAGCTGGGTTTTTGTATGTTCATCTGTGTTGAACTGAAATCTCCCACCATCACTCTTAGTTCTGGCCTCGGTTTTTTCAGGCTTCATCACCATCTTCTGTTCTTTCTCCTCTTCTTTCTCACTTCTGTGGCTTCAGATTTGCTTTGCCCTTTTCAAGCTTATGGATCCCCCTGCATCCCACTTTCTGCTCCCACCCATCCAGGGGAAGGCTACTCTCGGGTACTTTTGTGATGACTAGATGCCTTTAAATTCCCAAGGCCTTTTTACCCCATCTGCATCTTTAAAGAATTGCATTTGTATATTAGTCAGTGTGCAAAGCACAATTATTTAAGGAACTGTGTGGGGGTGGTGTGGAGTTATCTCTTATTTGAATAAACGGGAAAAACAAGGATAACAGCTTTCTTTGAATCAAATGGCAGATTTCATAGATCAACTTGAACAGGCCTTGGAGATTGTCCCATCCAACCTCCCTCCTTTTACAGAGAAGGGAGATGAGTTCTCAAGAAAGAAAGCGACTTGCCCAGTGTCCCAGAGCTCCTAAGTGTCTGAGGCAGGATTCCCACCCAATGTCAAGTACCGTGATCAGTCCACTGCACCATGCTGAAAGGAGAAATGCCCTTGCATATTAAATATTCAATGCTGTGTTTATGTGTGTGTATGTATGTGTGTGCATATATGTGCACTATACGTAGATGCCAGAGATAACTATGTCCATGCTGTAGAAATGCTAGCTACTAGGGTCTGTCACTGGAGGCAGTAGCTCAGACACCGAGTCATTTCCACGTGGCTGTGGCATTAGGTCACTTGTTTGTTTTGTAGCAGGTATATTTTCAGCAGTAAGTTTTACTTGGGCTCATATTATAATGAGTTTGTAATCCCTGGAGCAAACGTGACCCATTAACAACAGATGAGAGGGAAATTGTATGTGTCGTGGGTATTCCTTCTTGTGGCTTGGAAGTGAACTTGGGATGTGATGTACCCCCATCAGAGGCCAAATGCTGACTAGTCCTACGGGGGTGGGAAGGCTTCAAGCATCACTCTAGACTACCACCTTAGACCACCACTCTAGGGTCACTATTTGGAGCGGGAAGTGACTTTCAAGGCCATGTAGTCCCAATTCCCTGATCTTGCATATAAGGAAACTGAGGCACAGAGAAGGTTCAGTGACTTGTCCAAGGTCATACACATAGCAGATTTGGGATTGGAACCCAGGTTTTCCCCTGGACAGCTGCCAACCTAGGACCAGCTTCACCAAGTTCAAATTGTCGGGCCACTAGATGTGACAGCCAATGAAATAAAATACTTTCAAAGCCCTGTTATCTTGGGAGCCGCTGGATCGTCCCTAAGGCTCCTTCCACCTCTGTGGCCTGTGGTTTGATGATTCCAAGGAACAGGATGCATGTGTTGGGGCAGGGGGAGGCACTTTAGGAGCAGTAGAATCAGGGTCTTTGAATATCTGGAGGGATTTCATGGGAAAGCAGAACAAAACTTGTGCTTAGGGCAGATGCCGGGAGCCTGGGGTGAAATTGCCAGAGGGTAGAATTCCCTTGAAAGAGCAGAAGGATTTCCCCAAAGTTGGTGATGTCCAGAAGCAGACAGGGCTTCTTCTGGGTTAGCGAGCTTCCTCATCACTGGAGGTCTTCAGGGAGCTGACCGCACTTGGCGATGGGTGGAGGGTGGATGCCTCTTCAGATACGAGTTGGGTGAGGTGGCCCTGGAGGTCCCTTCTACCTCTGAGATTCTGTGAGATAGCTAAAGGGCTTACCCTAGACGAGAAAGCATTGCTCTGCGTGAAAGATCAGTGGGTAGAGGTCACTGGACACAGATTTTCATTCCAAGAAGCCAAAATCCCTTTTAACATCTGGAGCCATCCAAAAGTGTGGGTCAGCCATCTGGGGAAGGAATGAGTGCCTAGTGGGGGTAGTGTTCAGGCAGGTCATGACGGGACCGCCTGCTGCTTTCAGGCGCTTAGCTACACTGTAAGTCAATCAGCAAGGGTTAATTCAGCGCCTGATATGGTCTAGGCCCCGTCCTCGGTGCTGAGGTACAAAAGTGAAACAGGCCTTGCCTTCGAAGAGCTTACATCCTATCAGCAGAAACGTGTACACGTGTAAAGAGATACAAAGTGAATGTAGGAGGCACCGTGATGTTGGGTGTAGACAGCCTGCCTGGAAGCAAGTGTAGCCTGACTAGCCTTACTTCACTAGCTGTGTGATAGAATGTAAGCTTCACGAGGGCAGGCACCATTTTGCTTTCTGTCTTTGTATTCTCAGGGCTTAGCACAGTTCCTGGTACATAGTAGGTGCTTAATAAATGCTGTCTTGACAGACTGATTGCAAGGCTAGTACTCAGACTGCAGTGCCGTGGGGCCAGAGCCCCGAGAGATTACTTCAGCCTCGGTCCAGAATTGTTCGCCCGGTTGCTCTCCTGGATTTTCTGGGCTGTAACACCAAGTCCCTCACTGCCTCTGAATGTTGCCATCTCTCCTACGCGGCCGGCTCCACGGCCATTTTACTGGCAGAGCTCATGTCCTGAGTGCTGCAGGGCCCTTGGGCTGGACGTCTGGACGTCTGGGCGGCGTCATGCAGGGATGTGCAGACACTCCGGGTTCTGGGAAGCAGCCTTGGCCCCCCTCGTCCCTGCCCTTCATCACAGCCCACTATACTAAGTCGTTGGCCAGAGCCCAAGGCACAAGGTTCATTTACCCAGTTACCAGCAGGAAATATGGGGAACATTTATTGACTCTTTGGACCAGTGATAGCACATTACACTCAAGTCCCGGAGTAACCATGCTCAGCTTGGCGTTTCACACCCGAACACACCAGATACTGAATTCAACCTCTGCCTTCTCCATCCGTGTCTCAGTCTTGTCTTGCTGGAACCCATTTGGAAGGCAAACAAGACTCCCAAGGAAGAAAAAATGGGGGGAGGGGGGCAGGAATAGCTTTGTGTTTGCCTTATAAAAATCCAAGATGAAAACAGTTCCTGGCTGGGCTGGGTCGCAGCGTCTCAAAACTAAATGACAGATAGGTGACTCATTGTATGAGCCCAGAACAGAAGAGAAACAGGAAGAAGCCTCCTCAGATGCCAAGCTCTGTTCAGTCCAATGATGAGAATCCCCTCCCCCTCAAAAAATGATGAAGGCAGCCCTTCTCCCCATCCCCAGGCAACAAAAGCCCCTGTAGGAGAAAGGTTGGCTTTTTCCCATGTGCACAATGGCCCTGGAGAGACCAGCTGGAGAGAGCCCTGGCCTGGGAAAGAGGAGAATGGGGCATTTACCACGGGGGAGCAGCCTCAACTGCTTCATCTGTAAAACAAGTGGGTTGGCGGCTGGGTGACTGATCCCGAAGAGCTTTTCTGCCCCCCATGTTCACTGACCCTGTAGCACTGAATCCCCCCCCCCCGATTTCCTTTTCTTCACTCCTCCCTCCAGCATCACATCTTTGCTACTCTGTGATGTCCCACAGCCATCTTTCAGACTGGGGGTTGTCGAGGCCTTTTTCCTGATGGAAATGATGGCGGTTCAGAGGTGATGCTGGGGTCCAGAAAGGCCTCTTGGGGCTCCTCACTCCCAGTGTGGCCTCCGGCAAATCCCCTGGCCTTTCCGAACCTCTTAAGTCTGGGGATGGCTCCACTGACCTCTGAGGCTACTTCCGGCTCTGACAATAACAGCTAGCATTTCTGGAGCCTTTCAGGCTTTCAGTCACCTACGTGAACCCCTTTGATGCTCACAACCCCCCTAGGAGGGAAGTACTATTATTATTCCCATTTCACAGATAAGGAAACTAATTTTCAGACAAGTTAACTAACTGACTTGCCCAGACCCACGTAGCTACTAAGCGTCTGAGACAGGATTCTAACTCGGGTCTTATATGATCCCTTAACACCCAATTCTGCCACTAGTTTCTGCATTTTAAGGTGAGTCATGTAAGCTGTCTGCCCTCCCTACCTCATAGGGTTGCTGTAAGAACCGGAGGCATAATTGAAATGAAAATGTGTCACAAACTGTCAGGGGCTATAAAAAATAAGTCATTGCAAATGCCTGGGAACCTGTCCATTTCATTTCATAGTCCATCACCTTGTGTCTTGGTGCACTAGAGGAACAGAAGGGCAGTAGAGTCCAGGTCCACCTCTGGGACACAGGACAAGTCACCATCTCCCTGGGTCTCAGTTTCCACATCTGTAAAAGGAATTGGGTTGGTCTAGAGCAGGGGTCTCCAGAGCAGGAGCCCTGTGTACCCCCCAGAGGCTGTCGTATGACTTAGAGAGGGCCACGGTATGACCCAAATGGTGTGTGCTCACATGAGCAAGACATGGAAAGGCACGTCGCAACCGGGTGTGAACTTTCATTCCCCAATATGGGATATTCCAACATCTCCCTCTTGAGTCCAGGAAAAAATACTAGTGCGTCTTTATCTCATCTTTTTTTAAATGTCTCTGTTCATGTAAGTCTTACATGGTGCATGATTATTAACATCCTGGTACTCGTGTAAAATTTGTACACATATACGTAAGTGAGGGGATCAAAAGTGTTCACTGACAGGTTGTATGACCAAACAGCCTGGAGATCCTTGGCGCACATGGCCTCGAAGGTCCCTTCCGGCTCTGGGTGGATGAGTTTGTGATCGTCTCAGGCTATTTAACAATCTCTAATCTGCTTTTCCATTTGGGCTCAGGACAGAGGTGGGGAACCCAAGGCCTCAAGCCCACATGTGGCCCTCAAGGTCCTCAAGGTAATCCAGGGGCTTTGTTCTGTGAAGTTTGGAGTCAGTCAAAGGGCTGCACTTGAGGACTTAGAGGGCTACATGAGGCCTCGAAGCCTTGGGTTCCCCACTCTGGCTCAGGGGCTTTCTCTTTGGTCCTTTTCTCTGCCTAACTTCCATTAGTGGCCTTTCAGAGGTGGGATGGGCATCAGCAGCCACCTAATCCAACCCAAACGTAGCTGACAAAATACCCTTTAGATCTGGCTTCTTTGTGTGTCATAGACCCTGCTGGCGGCCTGCTAGAGCCCACAGACCTCTTCTCAGAATAATAGTTCAAAACATATAAAATATATAGGATTACAAATTAAGTCAGTCATGCTGAAATAAAATCCAGGTTCACGGACCTTGAAATCTAAGCACCGACCCCAGATGAATCCCGGTGCCAAGGCAGCATCCCCTCCCCCACAATTGATTGTGCATCCTGTGCCTGATGGGGAGCCCCCGCCTCCACCTTAGATGGTCCTGGCACATTTCTCCCACACATCAAGCTGAAACCTGCTTTTTCACCTTGCAGCCTGCTTCTCTGGGGCCGAGTCTGGGTCTGCTCCCTGTGAACCGCCTGCAGATCCCATTAGGCAGTTGTGTCCTCCTCTCCTTCAGAGTTGTTCTGCAATCTGTACAATGCTGAGGTACCCTGGCACTGCCCCTGCCCCGGCCAGTCCCCGTCCTTCACAGGAGCTGATCACGTTTCTATCATTGACGAGATCTTTGACTACTGGTTGCAAATCCCGTGGGCTAAATGGAGTAGATAAACTTGGCAGAGAATCAGACCACTGCCCACCCCTGGACCGTGCGTCCGCAGCTGAAATGCAGCACCCCATAAGGTGCTCAGAAAGCACACCCTCCTCCTCTACTGGACCCCTGCCTCTCCCGACGTGCCCCACCACCATCTGGCCGGCTCCGATAGCAGCCCAGAACATGGCTTCTTCACGTGGAAAGCATGAGATCTGCCTGAGAACGAGCATGACCGCCGTGCCTGGCAACTATCAGGGCGAGCCACCTGCTGGGCGGGTGCCATGGGAAAGAAGGCGTCCCTGGAGCGGCACGGGCTGAGCTGCAGAGCCTCAGCAGGCCTGGGCTGCCTCTCTGCCCTCTCCTTCCTCGCCGGGGTGACCTGCCCATCAGCTCGCTCTCCTGTGTGCTCCTTCCTTCCGTCCACTGGGGCCGAGCCCCACCGCCTCCCCCACCAAAGATAGAACCTCAGGCCATGCTATTTCCTTGTGTTCTTCTAGAGAGCACACAATACACTTGAGTTCAAGGTCGAAGCTGCTACCCACAGGACACATTTAACTCTTTAGTTTGTGAAGGCAGGCAGAACTCCGTGCCCCCATCCTGGGCCACAGGGGACACTCAGGGCGGGGGGCAGAGGGGAAGACCTCAGTCTTTGTTTCTCCTCTCCCAGCCTAAGAGACCTTGGCTCATTAATTATCCATAAGTCCAATATGTGGCGATAACAGCCTAATCCCTAATAATGGGTCAGGAATCAGAGAGCGGCTGGGAGGACTGTCTTTTCTTTGTAATGAGGGAAGGTGTGGGGATTTTTTTTTTCACGCGGGAGATAGCGGGATTTGGTGCGAAAGATGGAAAAGGCTTTGTGGTTGTAGGGTCAAATTCCTCCTCCATCTTGTACTGCCTGCGTAACCCTGGTCAAGTCTCTTCACTCTCTTTGGCCTTAGTTCCCTCATCTGTAAAATGGGTTGAACCAGAGGGCTCTGAGGGCCCTTCCAGGGGCAGAGTCTCCTATCCCCAGGCCTGGGGGTCCTGGGTTCCATCCCTTGCCCGTAAGAGCTTACTGACTGTGTCTCAAGAGCATCTGAGGTGCTCACCCACCGTGGCAACCCACCAACCCTTTATGTTTTTCTAGAACAGGAGAATCTTCCCATTGGCCATACCCTTGCAAGAAAGGCAGCATTAAGTAGCATTCAGCTGGCTTGGCCTTTTACTTCTGATATTTACTAGCAAGTGACTTCACCTGTGTGAACCTTGGTGTGCTCATCTGTAAAATGGAGATAACAGTGCAGGGTACCCTACCTCCTGGAGTTATTACAAGGCTCCTTTGAGGTAACGCAGGCCATAGAAGGCCAGCCTGGGAGTCAGTCCTGCCCCTGACAAATCTGCCTTCTAGCACCCTGGGCAGGTCATCAGATCTCTCAGTGCCCCAGGAAAGTCTCCAAGAGGGTGAGTTCTAGATAAACTGCCCCAGCGATGAAATCACAAGATCCTGGAGGTGGGCAAGGCCAGCCCCCTCATTTTACAGACAGAGAAACTGAGGCTCGGGAAAGATAAGTACCTGGCCCAAAGCAAGAAGTGTCTGATGCGGGATTCAAATTCCCATCTTTCTGTCTTCACATCCAGCAATCTAGTTGTATCACATTCCTGGAAGATAGAGGCATAGACAGATAGAGAGGAAGGGGAGGGAAGGGGAGGGGAAAGGAAAGGAAGAGTCAGGGAGAGGAGAGTGGAGCGGATGGATGGATGGATGGATGAATGGATGGGATGGCTGGATGTGGTTTTGCAAACCCTCGACAGGTCTCATGACCGTCACTGCTGGAGCTGGCATCGCCCCCACCAGAACAATCCATCCCTTGGCCAGTGACCAGCAGCACAGAAGTGACACAGTGACCTCAGAAGGCCCGTCTCTCTGCATCTTTCCTCCAGCATTTCAGAAAGGCCCAGGCCCCCGCCGCTCCTGCCGAGCTCCTGCCTGCCTGTACTATCTGTGATCTGTCGTCTCTGGGAGTTCCTGTGTTGGGCAGAGCTTTTTTTATTTGTTTTTACTTCTTACCCGGAATCCTAGTTTCCTAGACTGTTAGAACTGGAAAGGAGCTCAGAGGTCTTTGAAGAGACAGATGGGACGTATGTGGTATAGATAACTTACATGATTTCATTGCAGCCTCTTTTGCCTTTGCTCCATTTTACAGATGAGTAAACGGAGGATCAGCAAGGTAAAGTGATATGGACAAGATCAAACAGCTAGTGTCAGAGGCAGGATTTGAGTCCCTTGTGATAGAGTGAAGAGTTCTAATTTCAAAGTCCAGGGGCATGAGTTCAAATTCTCACTCTGACAGGACTTAACATGCCCAGGGAACTGGACCCAGTTTCCTCCTCGGTAACTGTGCGTAGGCTCCCTTCCACTCCTTCTGTGATCACCCGGGTAGACTGTTTTTGCTTGCTTTGAGACTGTCAAAGTACTTTGTGAGCTAGAACCTGGCCACACTCTAGCTAGGACCTGTGAGCTTCAAGGGGTCGTGATGCTTTTCTTCCCTCCCTGGCCTGAGTTTCCCCAGGTCACCGGGAGTGGAGTCGATCTTGGCCTCTCCTCTATTCCAGCCCTATGGCCCTGACGGCTTCCGCTTTTCTGACCCCAGCTCATTCAGCGGCTCCTCTTCATTTGTGCAGTCGGTTTCTAGTGTAGAATTTCCTCCTCGGCATTTGTCCCTCCAAGGTTATCTGTCCCAAACTCCCCCTGGGGCTTCCTCCACAAAAGGGGTCCTTGTGTGCCTCATGATTTCGGAGGTCTTAGCTACTAATTGCAGAAGGGTGGTGAGCTCCATGAGGTTGGGACGCCGAGGTTGGGAGCTCCCGGGGGTGGGGGAAATCACAAATGCTTTTCTTTGCCTCCACCCTCAGAGCTGTCGGAGACCTTATCGGCCATGAATCCAATTCCCATGTTTTGAACAGATGAGGAAACTGAGGCCCAGAGAGATTACAGGCTCATGAGAGCATGGATTTAGAGCTAGGAGGAATGTTAAATATCATCTGGCCCAACCCCCTCTTTTTACAGATAAAGAAACTGAGGTGTGGGGGTGAGGAAGAAGGGGTGCAGCGGGGAGCTTGCTACCTTATGACCTTTTGGCCAGTCACTTAAGCCCCCTGAGCCTCAGTTTCTCCATCTTCAAAGTGAGAGGGTGGCCCAGAGGGCCTCTAAGGTCCTTCCCAGCTCCAGAGCAAAGATCCTGTAATTTCTCTCAGTCCCAGTTTCCTCATCTATAAAATGGGCATAATGTCACTGCCTCTCCCACCCTCCTCGAGTTGTTAATAAGGAAAGTACTTTGGAAAACTCAGAACTCTCAAACCCTCCGAGTCAGGGTTAATCATTGCTGTGTGTGGGGTGGGAGGAGGAACGGTCCTTATTAACCTGCTCTGCCCTGTTTGTCTGCAAACAGTGACCCATCTCGTGCTCTGTGCCACATGCCTGGGGACCAGACCCTGGGGCATCTGGAAAGTGGCAGCCCCGGCCTCTTCCCTGGAGAGGGAGGGAGCGGCTGCGCGTGTCTGCTGGCTCCTGAAAAATGCTGACCCAGCATGTTGCTTAAGCTCCAGACTTTGCCATGGCAGGTCCCCTGTGCTGGTTAGCTCAGGCCTCTCTTTGCCCTTCTGTTCAGCAATGGGTCTGACTCACATTTGGGGACCGGCAGGACCAGCCCAGAGCTGGAGGAGGCACTGGAGATTAGCTAGTCCTCCCTCCCCCCTTTCCTTTTACAAATGAGTAAACTGAGGCCCAGAGAGGTTGCAGGATCATAGGTGGAAGCTAGAAGCCAGCTCCCTTTTCAGATGCAGAACCTGAAGCCCAGTTGGAGGGATGGGTTTGTTCGACCCTGTTCTCCAAGAGGACCAATGACACAGGAGGGTGATGTTTGACTTTTGAGTGGATTGGACTTAAGTGAGCTCCAGGGGATGTGACTCGCCTAGGGTCATATGGGCGCTGACTTTGTAATCCCCAGAGATTAGCATTGTGCCTGGCACTTAATAGGCATGATTGAATGTTTATTGACTGACTTCCTGACTCAAACTCAGGGCCTCTTGCCTCCAAATCCAGTCTTCTTTCCACCTCTCTGTGCTGGATTGCAGAGGAGGTAATGAGATTGGACGACAGGGAATTTTTGCCCAGGCTCGCTTAGGAGTGGTAGACCCAGCATCTTTTCCCTGACAACCAAATGATGAGCTGAGCCGTGATAGACAAGGGAGC